TATATATATATATATATATATATATATATATATATATATATATATATATATATATATATATATATATATATCACCATTATTCTATCTAAAAGTTTAAGCCAGTAGATGAAACCTGAACTATTAATTTACATTCTCAACAAATTGACCATTGTCATAGATGGTGCAAGAACATAATAACAACCAATATAACACCTACTAATGCTAGAAGTAGAACAATATTATTTGGGAAACCAGCTGAGAAATAATAGCAAAGCCTTCTCCCCTACAACCTCAGGTAGATTGGACTCATCAATGGTTCTCGATTCTTATTGTATGCATCACTGCTAGATTTGAAAAAAGCCCATGCCTCAGTTTGCAGACAAAATTTCTTTTGGCAAATGACCTCTATCTGGAGCAGCAGCTGAAACTGGTCATGGGATAGTTTGTCTGTTAATTCTCATCTGCTTGTGATTCTACCATGAAGAGCTATCTGTGACTCATACAAAATCTCAGAATGCAGGTGCTATCTTTCAACTTGTGGTTCTTGGAATATAAAACTCTTATTTTCAACAGTTTTATATTAAAATACCAAGACCCACTCTCAATATTGTTCTCCTTGCTGTGGTAAATTATGCAAGAAAGTTAACCGGAAAATAAGTTGCCATATTCAGACTCTGCTTTCTGGAAAATTAACCACAGTGTCTACTGAACTCAACAACATGCATAAATGAGGCAAGAGATCCTGTCCGCGTTTAAAAATGCTGAATTATCTTAAACCTGGGTAAAACATGCTGAACTAATTTTGTAAAACTAATACGGCGAGAGAAAACAATCTGTCAAATAACAATAGTTTGCTGTAAAAGAAAAGAAGGAAATGACTATCAACAGAAATAACCAAATCTAGATGCAGAAATTATTGATTATTTTCTGAATACATGATAAAGACTCGGTCATGGATAGAATCTCTAAGGACATGTAGGTCGTGAGTGAAGATAAAGAAGCAACAAAAGGATTCTAAAACAGAAAACCAATTGGGCAACTGACTGTTAACCACTACATAGAGATACTTCTGTTTTTCAGTAATCTTTTAGAAGAAAATCTAGAATAGGGAAACCTCAATATGGAGTTCTTGAATTTCCAATGTCCACTGCCTCATAACTGCATATCCAATTGAATCCACCTAAACATAGTAACAAACTTATTTTCCATCAGATTAGTAATGACAAGAACCAAGACAAGATTGCAGTAGCATTGCCGTCAAAGACCACATTATCGTGTGCTCCAGGTTTTATTGCTCTTCAAATGTTCAGTGGCTCCGCCTCAGCATCTCTCTCCTTCAGAGAAGTCCAATCTTCAGACTCTGCGAAGAATATCAACAATGAGAATATCACAAGGATAAAAATGGATCTCCTGCATTGACACTTGAATAGAATTTTGATGGATTTCCATAGCTGAAAGTGTACAATGGGGGGGAAGAAAAAGAAATGTTTCCTAAATCAAATAAATGGAGGCAAACTAAGTTTCCTAATTTAGTTTCTGCTGTTTGGAAATTTTTTTTTGACAATAAAGAACTGGTTCTGCAACAAAATGTTATACTTTAAAAATGTAAAAGAGGGTAGCCCTATAAATGAGATTCCTGCAAGTAAGGGATCTAGGATCAATGTCCTCATCTTATCCCTGCAATCAGAGAGGCTATTACCAAGTTACTTTGAAATAGCATGCCTCAACCCGTCATTGGAATGTTGACTTGATGATCCAAAAATGATGACAAGGTCTTAAGAATCTCCAAACTAAGAATGATAATTTACAAGCGCAAATATTTTTGGCTCGTGGCTCAGAGGACATTGACAAACCCTGAAAAACCATAGGGTGCACAGACTTTTTCTGATACCTGATATATGCTCATGCAACCATGACAAGCATTTAGATCTACGACCTTTTATGCAGTATAAGAAAGTACAAACAATAAGCAAAAGAATTTGTTGAATCATAAACCTATTCAAATGCAACTGACCGCTGGAGGCAGATTTGATGAAAATTTGGTTGTACCAGAGATTGGATAAAGATGATAAGCATCAAATATTTGAAAGTTTCTTGTTACTAAGATGCAAAAACATGTGGGCACTGGGCAGCATGTCTGGCAATTCACATGTCATCTACTAGCACTATGCTTTTGGCATTTGTTTTTCTAGAAAAAAATGAAAAATGAAAATTTTAGATCGTAGATACTTTTTATGGTTTTTTTTGTTGTTGGTGGAATACTCTGCACAGTCTGCAATAAGAACATAGCAAAAGGCTGATTTTTTTGTGAAATCAATAAATTATATTAATTCATCTCTTTAACTGTTTTGAATAAAAAATACTATGACTAGAAGGATGACTGCAATATACAAAATTTAAGATAATGAAGATTCAAACATTTTCAATATTTTTTGTGGCGCCCAAAAAACCAACTTTTATTTGAAGCTATGGCAGAACAGTTAAGCTAAAAGAGAGAAATCTCATGTCCTGAGAAAGGATAAGAGAGGAGATTTCCTTTCTTACTTGATCTGTGGCTCTCAGCAACTATCATCAACCTCCTTTGAAGAATTGAGGCGAGGAAAAGGAAAACAGAGCACATGGCAAACATGACGGTCATAGGGAATGCATTCACCTGCAAATTGGCACTTCAACAATCATTATATGACAAATTATGATTCATATCCTCAATTTCTCAAATTAAAGCTACCATAGCTAGCATAACTATGAAACCTTTAGTTTAATTGTTCAACTAAGATTAAAATAAATGCTAATTAATATATCCTCCTAAATTTGGCAAATCATGTGACAGGAAACCTAAAAGTTAGCATCTTATGGTGCAAACACTCGAAGTGCTGAAGTAAATAAACCTTGAATTCTCACTCGTGCAAGAAACACCAAATTTTAAATGGAAATTCACTGTGAAATCAGATAATATAGCCATGTGATTGGATGCTTACATTGTATAGAACAACACACACAAATATGTTAAGGGGAATGCGGAAAAAGTTCATGATCGTGCTTCTAGCCTCTTCAGGAATGTACTGGGACCTCATCTTCATAATGGAAGGCCAAAATATTCCAACACAAGCTTCAAATGTGCAGAAGCCAAAGAGCTGAATACAACCCCCGAAAGAAATGCTTCCACCTTTGACTGTTGAGGGTGCTACTAAGAACTGCAACATATCAAAGATCAAGTTAGAACAATTGAGTGAAGGAACACGAACAAAAAGCCAGTAAGTAGGGCATACACTGGTAATAACAGGTAGAAGGAGAGTGACCGCAGAGATAGCAAATACAAGCTGCATGTAAGATTCAACTTTGGGTGCTGCGCGGGACAATAGTCGAGATGCAATGGAGCTACCCAACATTGAGGACAGCATAAATGTCGCAAAAATGAATCCGTGTGGAATGTCTTCATCATTTGGGCTTAAAGCAGGAGTCCAGAGGAAAACAAATGTATACATGGAACCTTCAAACAACGACTGTATTGCACCAAGTAACGCAATTTTCGTGTCTGAAATAGTACATTGTTCGTCACACTACCGGTCGCAGCTGATTTTTTGTAAACATGAAATTGTAATACAATAATACTAACCAGAAGAAATAGCTGATGCGGCAACCTTGAACTGGGTAACTAAATTCTTGCTTTCAGAAGGATCTCCATAGTTCTCAGTCCATGTTGATAATATAACCGCCATGCCAATAGCAAGAAAACATGCGGCAGCATCAAAGGGTGCAACAGGTCCAAAACCCAAATTATCTGTCAGCAGGTTAGCAAACAACCCAGCGATAATGGCAACAAGGCCATTTCCAAGAAATATAGCTTTGGAAAATGTTATGGATAGCCACTGTGGTTCAAAACCCCTCTGTATCACAAACGTGAAACACATATAAGAAACGAAGCATGTTATGAAAAGGAGCATCTGAATTAAGATTAGCAAGTGTTGCACCAATAGTTTTCATCTCCAAGAACCAACCAACACTGACCTTGGATATGCATAG